GCATTGCTGCTTTTAACTTGAATATTAAGGAAGTTTACTGCAGCTTTCTTCCTTAGGGTTAGTGATTAAGTGTGGTCATTAAGGACATTCAATTTAATTCCAATTTAGTCTTAAAAATTAATGTGGAGCTGATGGAGCCAGTTTAAAAGCACAAATATCAAGCAAAGCCAATTAATCTATATGACCAGAAAACAAAAGAAGAGACCTAAACTAGCACTAATGGAGTTGGAAGTACAACAGTAGCCCATTTTGATTCCTTCTCAGTGAACCAAGGTACAGGGGGCTGGGGGAGTCCCAGAGAAAGGATACAGAATGCATAGTACATGATCCCTTGACATTCTATGCAACTCTTGGATTCAGAACTTTGTTTAATTCCAAATATTATTAAATATTAAGTAAGTGATGATTTTTTCAGAACTCTTATTTACTCCAAAGAAAAAGAGGATTCATTCTCTCTAGTCTTCTCTACAACTATCAACTAATATATAAAGGAGTAACCACTTAAATTTATTATGAAAGCAAAAGAGATTTCAGGAAAAAGACAAGAATAAAGATCTGTAGTTCTCTTATCGGGAGATAACCAATATTGAGCACCTAAGTGTATACTATCTGAGAGGTGTTTTGGTATATACACTTACACACACTTAAGTAAAAACAGGATGCAATAGTGATTACTCTTTTATAGCAAGCTTACTTGATACTTAACAATATCCTTATGAGTTTATTTTCATGTAATTTAAACGCACAGCATATTGGACTTTTGTTCGGCTGAATAATAGTCTATTTAGTTAATCACCTATGACTGGACATATATGCTGTTACCCCAAATTACCAATTACACCATAAATGATAATACCAAAAGAATATCACTTGGCCTTCAAATGCAATGTGCTCATCATGCCTTAGAACGAGCTGGGGAAGATGCAGAAGAAAAGAGAACATTTTGTCCACACAACCTCACTAAACATGACTCATTTTGTAGTTCTATCTGGCTTGGAGAACAGCCAGTGGGGATACAGGTTGCAGAGGAGTGCATAGTAATGCTGTGGAAATATCAAACAATTCAAATAGGACTGACACCATAATGGGCTGCCCACAGTGGATGCCAAGTTTTCTCACTGCTCTGCTAAGAACGACCTGCAAACCCCAGAGGGACTTTGTTCTATGCTTAATATGTCAAAGGCAGCTTGTGCTTCAGTTTGGATTAACTTCAATTCTCCTTGGTGTTGTGTTTTTCTGTTAATTCTAATCTTAGAATTCATCACTTCTTTTCAATAGCATCATTCCTGCAGTAGGTTGGTAAGTGGGTTTAAAAAAATTTAGTAACCTAAGAAGCCTCAGAATTTAAGGTTTTAGTTTCCCTAGTTTAGTAGTTTATGTAATTATTTGTTCATGCAGCATTTGTATATCACTTTTCTGATCTTTTTTGCTATATGAAATTTCCTGGCAATTTCCCAGTTTCTGGCTTATCACTGCCTATGCAGCTATCAACTCCATAGCAATAAAGCAAATGAAGTTCTGAAGGGCTGTCCAGCATTTGAATAAGGCAAACAAGATATTTTTCAGCTGCTAGACTGAATTGGACACATTAATTTAGGTGGCAATATCTCTTCTCTTTTATTAATTCTATTAAAACTACTCACAGAGAAAAAAAATAGATTTTCTTAAACTCAGAGAATTAAGATAATTTACTATTTGCTGGGTTCTGATGTGCCTGTGTCTTTGTGGCACACATAAGCATCATTAGATAGTCGCTTTTGAGGTGGTATATTTGCATTCAATCTGTCACATGCAAATGCAATAAAACAAATTTTATTGCATCTTTACTCTGTGCCAATCTCTCTTTGTCTGCAGAGTCTGCAGACACAAAGAGGAGCAAGACATACTCCCATCTTCAAGGAGTTCAAAGTTTGAAGTGCCTGCTTTTAAGGGGCACACATGCACACATACACACAATAGAACTATAGAATACAAAATGTAATTATGGCTGAGATAGGTGGGAGTAGATGCTTCAGGGATATCCAGAAGGAACAATTCAGTGGCTAGAGGTTGGAGGAAGTTCTGAGAGAAAGTGATACTTGAGTGAGATCAGGATGGAAGAGAAATGGGGACCAGGCATTAAAAGCTAAGGGAAGCCTCAGAACAGCACCATGTGTTAAAACACAGGGTGTGGTCAAATGGTGGCAAATGACTTGATGAAGCTGTTGCTAAAGATGTGTGTGAGCCAAGATGTGGCTGGAGAAGCTGATTAGAGTTAAACCTGTAATGAACTTTGGCCACTAAAGAACTTTGGCTTTATTCTGTAGAAATGGGAATGCGTGAAGTCATTTGGGAAGGGAGGATGACATGATCAGAAAGGTGTTTGAGAAAACTAACCCCTTGCAGCAGTAAGGAGGTAGAAAAACCACTTAGAAGGTCATTTCTATCTTCCAGGAAGGAGACAGGGAGACTTTATCCAGAGAATAGAAGGAAGTAGGAACTAAGCTGGTAGTACTTTCAAGCATACCAGTTTGGGTTCACAAGTATTTATTTTGGGGAAAAGTTGAAAAGATAAGCACACACAGGAGATAGGACTGTAGATGGGGGCTCTAGGTGGCAGCCTGTGAAATTGTCAGTCTTTCTCAAGGATTAGTACTTAACTATTAACATGCTTGAGTTCCTCAAAATATTCTATAAAATCAGGAATGCATGCAGACCACCAGCATTATGATAATATACACAAATAAATGCTGAAAAGCCTGTAACAGGCTTTCAAATAGCTTTAAGGCAAACAGGAAAATAATTTTATATAATTTCCCAGGCTTTCCATATTCCAACAGGTTGAACCTATTGGGGATGAACTATACCTCTCAAGTTTCCTTGGCATTTTGTTTGTATCTTTTTAAAGCACATGCCATGCACAGAAACTTGGAAGAGTTGTTTTGTGGATCTTTGATCTCTTCCAGGCCATCATAAGTGTCCTTGAAGGGGGAAACTATTTTTGGTTCATCTTCAGATTCCCCAAAGTGCTTGACACACAGTGGGGACTTAGTGGTGAAGGAAGGAAGGAAGGAAGGAAGGAAGGAAGGAAGGAAGGAAGGAAGGAAGGAAGGAAGGAAGGAAGGAAGGAAGGAAGGAAGGAAGGAAGGAAGGAAGGAGGGAGGGAAGGAAGGAAGGAAGGAAGGAAGGAAAAAATGGCTAATTGTGAGGTAAGGAGTTTGGATCAACAATGGCTGAGGGCAGGTAGAAAAGATTAAATAGGGGCCAGCTAATGAACAGCTCACCATGTTGAGGAAATAAAACAATGAACGTGATTAATCGGAAGTATTTGCAGTAAGTTCAGAGAAGAAAACTTACTAATCATTCTACGGCAGGTTAGGTGGGGAAAAAACAATGTTCCAAACTGAAATAAAGTCAGATTACTGGTTAGAAAGAGTTTTTGAATAATGATTTTAAAATAAATTCCTGTCCAAAAGGCACATTCATCCATTTGTTGTTGTTGTTTCTTCATTGCGTGGAAGTTAAGATTATGGGCCCTGGAGCCAGCTTGGCTGGGTTTGGGCCACGGGTCTCTCATCAGCTCTTTGACTTGGTACAAGTTCTTAAAACTCTTCTTCAGTTTTTGCATCTATAAAGTTAGAGTATTCATAGTGCTAACTGTTAAATTTGGAGTAGAAAGTAAATGACTTACTGGATATGAAGCTCTTAGAACAGTGCCTTGTGTGAATGGTAATACTGTTAGCTTTTTTATTCTGTATGTTTGCTGTACTGAGCACTCCCTATGTGTCGAGTACATTCAAAATCCTGGGAATAAAAAGATGAGGATATGAACCATCTTCAAGAAGCTCATGGACTATTGGGAATAACAAGTGCGAATAAAGACTATAGATCAACATGACAAGTGCCATGATAAAGTTATACATATTTACTCGCTTCTGAGAGAGAAGGGTCAAGAGGGAGGGCTGAGCTGAACTTGGTCACCTATACAACACGGTAAGTCCATTTGGCTTCCTCCAGCCTCCATTTTCGCAAATTCCCTGTTTTCTTTTCTGGCACAGACAGACTTCCTTTGTCTGCATCTTCACTATGGGCAGGGGACCCCAATTTCCTCTAGATCCTTTGTTTTAAAAGCACAATTGGGTGATTTTCCTCTGACTGCCTTGAAAGAGGAAATAGATGAATATCTCTTGGGTGTGTGGTTAGGGACACATTCCCCTTAGGCCAGTGGGAATAGGAAGGAGATGCTGGGAAGGAGGAAGAGAACAATTTCTGGGGAGGAACAGTCACAGGTCAGACCCAGCTTTTGGATTAATAAACAGAGGTATCTCAGGGCCTCAGTGAAGACACTGGGTGAGGACAAGGAAGAGAGGAAAGGTGGAAACAGGCTGGAGTGGGGTTCCCATGCTCTTCTGAGGAATGTATGGCAGGAATGGGGAGCTAGGGAGTGCAGAAAGAGGGAATAACACATTGGGTATCATACTTCTGTCCTTTGAAGCTAGCCACAAGAAGCCCCATCAGTCACTAACTCAGATGAGAAAGACCACAGTAAAAACAATGACATTTAGAAATCTTATTTTTTAATCCCCTCTTTTTCAGAGTCCATTGCTCTATTGAGGAGACCCTGCGAGTAAAGAAATTGTGGAGGAAAAACTTGGAAACAGTTTGAACAGTCAGGGATTTGGGGATGCTACTGGATGCTACTGGCTTGCTCTGTTGCCAGTTCTTTTTTTTTTTTTTTTTTTAAATATAAAGACACCACCACTAACACGATGTTCTGTTTGTAAAATACCTCATATGCATGTTTCATTTGATTTTCACACCTACCTTGTAAAGTAGGCCCTGTGGATGAACGTTATGGTTATTTTTATGTAACAGCTTATGACACAGCACTTAGATGCTGACCAGTGAGGTGAAGCTTGTCCACAGGTGAGGGGCAGGACCAGACTTTGGCCAGAACATCCTGACCTCAGCAGCAAGCTCCTGTTCCTGGCTCTGAGCAAGCAGTGAGCCAGACAGCTTACCCCCTTTCTTTCTTCCACAGAAAGAAAACTTGGGTAGATCCTCTTCACATATGGGATAGGAGTAACTCAAAATGGACAGGCCTTCACTGAAGAGACTTAGGTCGAGAAACAACTCTTTGATGTCCTCTCCTAAAGGAAAAGAGAAGATCAGCTTTGTTCTCGGTGTGGGTTTTGCTGTCTATGAAAGCATTCACAATTTTAAAAAGTATGAGTCCAAAGAACTTTTATTTCCACAAGTCTGTGCTGTCTAGAAAATAGTTTTCTTTTTTTCTTGGCAAAATAGCATTGCTACAGAGCATTATGGTGCCAGCCCTGGGTATGAGATGAAGCCCTTTCACAAACACTATCTTCTTGGAGCAAGGGAGTTTATCTGCTCCCCTGCCCTGATGCGTAGCCTCTTAATGTGATGGCTGCAGGTCTGGCTTCTACCACTTTTCAGCCACATTGTATTAGATACCTCCTGATAGAGCTGGAGTGCGGGCAAGCCTGCATACCCCCGCTGTTGCTAGGCAGATACTGTAGCATAGCTACACAGGAAGTTACAGGGTGCTCTGCAGTGTTGGTTTTCAATTCTTTCTGAAACTTTTTTTCCATTCCTTCCATTTATGTTCTGCTTACCCCTCCTTCCATTCTGCCTTTCTCTCTTTCTTTCCAAAGCATTTTTGAGCTGCTACAATAGAGTCCAGATATTGTGTGAGGTTTTGGAAATACAAAGATGCCCGAGAGTTCTTGGATGCCAGGAATGCTCCCTCTGTTTCAATGGAGTGATTCCACATGCTAAGTTTATCAAATCCTTCTGCTCTTGTTTTAATAAAACCCTTTTAGGAAGGATACATTCCAGTAGCTATAGCAATATAATGACTAATTTGTAAGGGCATGGTCATATAAATATAAACAATCAGAAAGTATTCTAGCTCATTGATTGGGGTGTGTCAAGGTATGAGAACTTATATTAGCTATTTGAGAAATGAAATAACGCAAAGGCAAGTGATGTTGCTGGTAGTAGACTTGTTTGTTGCTGATAACTAAACAAAAACTCTCTCCTGAGAAGACATCAGTACTCAAGTTCAAAATTCTTTCTTTGCTAGACATACTGATTCCAGGTGTTTATATCATCCCAATGGGTGCCTAGAGTTTTTTCAGTACAAAAGGCATAGCATTATGTGAGAGTTTTACTCTATCTGGATAATACTCAAGGGGAGAACTGAAGAAGAATATAGAAATAGAGTTAATTCCCAAAAGTGATGGGGAGCAGTGGCTTATAGCCTGCCAGTGCAGTTAATACAAGTAATTAGGTTTGTGAACCAGGGAGAGGCTGTGCAATGTTTTATTTCATGTCAATAGTTTTTACTTACTCAGAATGATTCCAAATCTAATATTGAGATTTGATTTTAAATGTCTGGAACACTGGTCAACAGAAAAGCCAAAATCTTGTAATGGATCTGCCAAGAAGAAAACAACAGATTAGGTGTGAGTACCCTATATGCTCTGCAAGCTCATATTAAAAATTCACAGCAATTATATTATTTTTTCTATATGAACTCCTAAAATTGACACAAAAACATCCTGCCCAATACTCCTTTTCCATAGTGTCCATGGTACTGTCAACAGCTCCTCACAGTCTCTGCAAAAGTCAGCACTGGTCACTGTCATGTTCAGTCCGTAAAATGGGCCGTATTCTTGATGGGTGGGTTGCATCTTCACTTGTTAAACTTTTATCATTGTTTGAATCTTTTTATTCCTGGCTTAGATTAAAAATTGCTCATTTATTGCACAAAACATTTCACCAAGTATTTATTATTATAATTAAAACAGAGGGAAAAATATACAAGTTTTCTAAGTTAAGACCTGACTTTGCAGTTCTATCCCATTCTATCCCATCCTATTCAAGGTAATACTTTTTCCAAATATTTCATGCTATGTAAGGTATTGTGTTACAAATACCATATGATCTCACCCATAAGCGGAACCTAACAAACAATGCAAAGATGCAAGGAAAATATGACCAGCAACACTGAAAGGAAAAGAAATCAACAGAGACAAGAGGGAAGGGGGGGCAGGGAAAGAGAAGGGAAGGGGAAAGTCAAGGAACATATAGCAAGGACTCATGGACAAAACCAAAGGGGAAGAGCTGAGGGAGGGAAGGTGGGAGGGGGCAAGGGAAAGAGGTGGGGGGGAGGCAGAGACAAATGTATTTAAAAAGTAAATAAATTAAAAAAAAAAAGAATGATGAGGACTGCAAGGATAATTATTTTACATGTAATTTCTACTTATTCTAAAATTTTCAACAGGTCATCTATGCCTTCAAAGAGAGTCAAGAAACAGTCTACTGGCCCCATCTTCCATCCACTATATTACAAATCCACCCTCCGTTCCTTGAGATCAGGGCTGCAATGTAAGCACTAGGGAAGTTCCCACTGTGATTGAGTTGCTCCTGTGCTTCCTTCTGTTTATTATGGTCTCACTGCTTTGGGCCATTGTCAAAATACTAATACTTCCCTGATAGTCCTCAGAATATTTGTTTGCTTCTCTGAGTTCTTAAAACAGCTATGTCTGATTTAAAGTGTACAGGCATGTATGACTTTGTACTTTACTCTTTGACTTATCCTGTAACACTTTATCTAAACACGGAACTCCTAAAAGGCAGGTGTTTTGTTGTGTCTTGTTTGTTTTCCATTTCATTTTCTTTTAGGTTTCCCACTGGGCCTGAGAGAGGACAGCTGGGCCTATGTTGCACTAGTCACTGAGGTGTACACTCTAGTTATAGGAGTTTTCCTTTTAATTCTTCAGACTCCCAGTGTCTAGCAGAATGCCCCTCAGTCCAACACATAGTAAGCCTTCCATAAATGCACACAGGTTGAATGATCCATGTATTAATCTATTGTCTCTCAGCTCCAAACCAACTTATATACTTGCTAATACTCGAGAGTGTCAATGGGTGATGGCCTATCACCCTGGCAGTGGCAAGTGATTCCAGTGGCTCTCTTTTGCACCCTTCCAGAATCAGCAGTGGCTCAGCTTTTTGACAACAGTACTGCAGCTGCTGTGATGACAGTCCCTCAGAAGCTGTCTTCCCTTCCCTGGCAGTCTTTGTGTCAGCTCCAGAGGACTCTTTTTTCAAGCTTCTAGGTTCTAATAGCTCCAACCTCCCCACCGCCACCTCCCACCCCGTTCTTCCAGCCTTAGAGGGTGGTCGTTGCTCCCTCACTGTCCCTACTTTGCTTTTTGATTCTCTAACAATTGTATAAACAATTCCCTATGTTAAATTCTCTCTGCTAAAATAACTTACATTGTCCTGTATTTCTGACCAGACCCAGGCTGCTACAATAAGTAACGACCTTTTTTATGTGTATTATGGAGAATCTTTTTTTTAATTTAAATTCTATTTTATTGTTTATGCTATTACAGTTGTCCCTATTTTTCCTCCTTTGCCCTCCTCCACCCCACCCCTCCACACCCTCAGCAATCCCCACATCGTTGTCCATGTTCTTGGGTCATACATAGGTTCTTTGGCTACTCCATTTCTTAGGCTATACTTTACATCCCCATGGCTATTCTGTGATGACCTATTTGTACTTAATCCCTTCACCTTTTTTGCCCATCCCCTTGATCCTCCTCCCATCTGGCAACCATCAAGTATTCTCTGTATCTATGATTCTGTTTCAGCTCTGCTTGTTTGATTTTTAGATTCAATTATTGATAGGTATTTATTGCCATTTTATTGTTGATATTTTTTATTTTCTTCTACTTAGAGAAGACCCTTTAACTTTCACATAATACTGGTTTGGTAGTGATGGACTCTTTTAGCTTTTTCTTGTCTGGGAAGCTCTTTAGTCTGTCCTTCGATTCTAAATGATATCTTGGCTATGTAGAGTAATCTTGGTGGTAGGTCCTTGCTTTTCATCAATCACTTTAAATATTTCTGGCCAGACCCTTCTAGCTTGCAAAGTTTCTTTTGAGAAGTCAGCTGTCAGTCTTATGGAAGTTCCTTTGTAGGTTATTAACTACTTTTTTCTTGCTTCTTTTAAGATTCTCTCTTTGTCTTTAACCTTTGGCATTTTTATTATGATGTGTCTTGGTGTGAGCCTCCTTGGGTTCATCTTATTTGGGACTCTCTGTGCTTCCTGGACTTGTATGTCTATTTCCTTCACCAAAGTAGAGAAATTTTCTGTCATTTTTTTCAAATAGGTTTCCAATTTCTTGCTCTCTCTCTCTCCTTTTGACACCCTCATGATGCAGTTATTGGTATGCTTGATGTTGACCCAGAGGCTTCTTACACTATCCTCATTTTTTTTCTTGCTGTTCTGATTGGTTGTTGTTTGCTTATTTATATTCCAAATCATTGATTTGATTTTTAGCTTCATCCACTCTACTGTTAATTTCCTGTAAATTATTCTTTATTTAAATTAATGTATCCTTCATTTCTGATTGGATATTTTTTATGCTATTGAAGTTCTAAGTTCATTGAGCATCTTTATAACCAGTGTTTTGAACTCTGCATCTAGTAGATTGCTTGTCTCCATTTTTTTAAAGTTATTTTTCTAGAATTTTGTTCTGTTCTTGCATTTGGGCCATGTTTCTTTGTCTCCTCATTTTGGCAGCCTCCCTGTGTTTAGGTATTAGGTAGAGCTGCTTCATCTCACAGGCTTGGAAGAGTGGCCTAATGTAGTAGGTGTCTTGTAGGGCCCAGTGGCACAGCATCCCCTATCATCCAAGCTGGGTACTTGAGGTGTGCCCACCATATGGGTTATGTACACCCTCCTCTTGTAGTTGAGTTTTGATTGCTGTTGGCACATCCAAGGTCAGCCACCACCCATGTTCTGTCCACGGTCACCAGTCATAATCTACCAAGTGATCTATAGATGGCTTCTACTTGTTCTGGGCTTAGAGGAGCCCAGGAGAGGCTAGGCTGTGAACCAAGGCTAACTGCTGCTAGTGCCAAACCTGGGGCCACTTAGCAAGTGATATGAGCACACTAAGTCCAGATGCTGCTTGTTTGAGAGAATTTAGGAAAATCTGAAGTATGAGCCAAGACAAGCCATTCATATGTAAAAACTACTAGGAAGAGCTTGGGTGGGCCTGAAAATTGGGTGGGGTGAGGCCTCAGGGAATCACCAAGGTGGGGAAATAATGTGAGCCAGTCGGAGACTCAGATATGGCATCCATCTGCCATCTGTTGGGGGAGGGCTCAGTAAAAGAACAATGGCTCATAGCTCACTTGTGTCTAGGAGAAAGCTGCCTCCTCAGCTCTCACCCTAACACTGGACAACTCAGTTCCTTCCCATATGTCCCTGGTGCCTGTTGAGCTGCTGCCTGCATGCTGGAGCTCAGAGGGAGTGAGTCCAAGAAAGTCTGTGTGAAGGCCCTGTAAGTGCCACTGCCTGGGACAGAAGTTTCTTCTCCCATCCACAACCACAATCCACATTGGTTTTCACAACCATAATTTATGGGGAATTACCTTCCTGGAACTTGGGACCCTAGGCTGTGGGGCCTGGTCTGGGGTTGGAATGCCTTGCTCCTAGGATACCCATCCTGGTTTTTATCTGCCACACATGGGTGTGGGACCAGCCTGTTCTACGTCTCCAACCGGCCTCATGTGGTTTCTTCTTTAGTTCCATAGTTGTAGGACTTCCATTCAGCTCAGTTTCTGGTGGTTATGAATGACGGTTGTTCTATAGTTTAGTTGTGATTTTGATGTGGTTGCATAAGGAGGCGAGCTGTGTTTACCGACACTGCCGTCTTGACCAGAAATGTCAATAAATAATGATCTTGAGGGAGGTATAATTTTCCCCATTTCAAAGACAAGAATATATAGGCTCAGAGAGGTGGTATTAATTTGCAGCATTAAAGTTAAAACCAGACCTAAAAACAAACACATAAATAATTGCCACCTAGTATTGTGCAGAAGCATTCACAAAATAGAGCCTCAAAGATGTATGTTAATTATTTGATTTGCAAGAATGCCTGGAATATTTTGTGTGCAGGCCTAAGGGATTTGGTAGTTCTCTTTCATAACTGGTTTCAATTTCAGCTGAGCTATGAGCTCATGTTTGCCAATGATAGTGTTCCAGACAGTTTTATCACCCACATTGCTGACCTGGAAGATGCATAATTGTCTGTGGTTTCTGCTGTGGAAATGATCACTAGGCAATTTCTGCCTTGCAAATCTAATCTAGTGCAGTTTTGTTTGATTGAGCCCCCTTTAATCTGGTCACTAACTTTTTTGGGGGTGGGGGAAGCCATTTTATCTTATGCTCATTTTATTTCTTCATAAGCATCTTTGTGCTGTCCCAGGGCTTCTTTCAGCTTGAAAAATAGGAACAGAGTGTAAAAATACAACTGTTTTTGTTACATACTTGGCACTCATTACTGAAAGAGTCCAACTAACAGATGTTTAGGAAAGTACATCTCAAAATTGTGAATAAATTAGGTTGCTATCTGA